AAGACAAAGCTCTGCAGGGCTCCCTCCCTCTCCTGGGTCGGTGCCAGCCCAGCCCTGCTTTCCCATAGGTGGTGCAAGAGAGGACAGGCAGGAGGGGGTCACTCAAACGTCTTAGTGCACCTCTCACAATTCCGCCTTGTCCACATTGTTTGCATCAGTCTGGGTCCAACCAGGAAAAAAGAAACCACTCAAGGAATTTAACACAGAGGGATTTTAATCCAGAGAGTCATATAACACAGGTGATGGAAGGAGCTGAGGCCAGCCAGGAAGCAAGGGGCAACCCAGAGATGGGGAACAGCAAGGGAGCCGCCACCACTCCGAGCTGGTGGGGCCCAGGGCCGTGTTAGCAGAGCCCAGGGGCCTCTGGGTGGAACCTGGAACCACAGAGGGCCTGTCTGGTGGGAGCTGGGGCCATGGAAGAGAGATGGTCACTGTTGGAAACATCACTCCAGGCAGAGACAGGGAGAGAGAACCTGTCTTCTCCCTCCCTCTTGCCCTCCAGGTTCCTGCCGGAGCCTTAAGTTAGCTAAACCCAGCTGGAAGCAGCTAACCTGTGGGCTTGGGTCAGGCAACCTGCAGGGATCAGCCCTCACCCCAATTCAGAGCAGAGCAGGGGAGGGGCTGGGAGCCCATCTGAGGGCAAGCAGGCCCAGGGTCAGTGTGGCCTTGATCTGCCCTGTGTCCGTCCGAGCTTGGGGTTTATGCCCTGCTGCTGTCATGAGGCTCCGGTAAGGGGAGACAGAGGAGCTGCCCCCTTGAGTTTTGTGCATTGTTTGACTTTTGTCTGGAGATGAAAGTGCTTTGGGGAGGGTGGGGAAAGCCTTTATTCTTAACAGTTGTCACTGTTTTCCTTTGGAGGTATTTACCCATTTAGAAGCACCCCCCTCCCCTGCCACCTACCAGTCTCCTCAGGAAAGCCATATCCCAGTTTTCCGTCCACCCCACCCCCATCCCCACCACATGCTCTTTGGTTTCCCTGCCAGAGACACCAACCCAGACCGTGCGTCAGTGATGACGAGCGTATCCCCAGGGGAATTAATTCTGAGGGTGATACTGCAGTGTAGACTGTCTGTCAGCAGATGCTATCTACTAATCACTTTGTATCGTGTTTCCAATAAATTTCTGGAAATTATGCCTGTTTTTTTTTTTTTTTTTTTTTTTGTTCTTACTGGGTACTGTGGCTCAGCTGTAAGACCCACTACCCGCACACCCCACCCTCAGTGACAGGTGGTCCGCCCCTCCTGCATGGCTCTGAGGGACTTCGGGAGGTAAAGGCCAGGCCAGTGATTAGTCTGATGGTCTCTTCAGCTTTCTTCCCCTCTGTCTCCAGACCTACTGTAATAGTGCCATTTTCCTAGTTTAAGGAGGTGACGGACCCTCTTGCCACCCATGTGCTGGATCCATCCCCTGCTCCTCCTCAGGGCCTTGGAGTTAGTGTGTCCTGACCTGGGCCAGTACCTCAGTTTCCTCATCTGTAAAATGGGGTTGATGATAGTATCTACCTCATAGGACTAAATAAGTTAGTATGTGTAAAAATGCTTAGGACAGGGCCAGACATAGCATGTTTATTATTGTTCCATCATCATCTTCTCTCTCTCCCCTTCTCTTCCTACCACTGTATTTAATCTCTCCATCCATTCGACAAAACAACAGAACAAAAAAAAAAAAAAAAAAAAAACAACAGTCGAATTACCAAAACATCTCTTCTATTTCACCTGAAGCTATTGTCTTATCTCCCTTTACTGGCAAACTTGTTGAAAGAGGGGAGAGTTGTCTCCATTACTTCAAATCTCATTAATTTCTCCATGCCTTCTAGTACTCTCTGGCTTCCATCCTGCCCCTACCCTCAACCACTCACTGAAATTACTGTTAGTAAAGTCACTAATGACCTAATAGCCAAATCCAACACTCTATTTTTAGTCATCCTGTTTGAGCTTTCTTGAGCGCTTGAAGCTGGTATCATGGCATTTTTTCTTTTTTCATTACACTGACCCCTTAATTCTCTACCAGGGCAATGCTAAGTAACATTCAGCTATTACTTACAGTTATTTTTTCAGACCTTTTTACAAAGATATGTTCAGATATGTTCAGTGTGTACCTCTTCCCATTTGCCTCCATCCCAGAGGTAAGCACTTGCTTTAATTTGGTGTTTAGCATCCCAAGGCATGCTTTTATACAATTAATATGTATGTATGGCTCTATAACCAATATAGAACATGTTTTGCATATTATTAAATTTTATACAAATGACAACCTACCCCTTCTTGAAAAACTCTTTTTTAGTAGTACCAGACAAATACAGTATTAATTCAGGGTGTCCATCCAAGATGCCTGGCCATCTGGTGTCAGACACACAACTCTGCTTTTCAGATCAACTTTCTTCAGCCCACCATTAGGAGGCCCTTCTGAAAATGCTCTATTCTTGCACAGGGCACTTTGCAGCCTGTCTTGGTGTTCTGTGTTTGGCTTTTACCTTGATAGAGGATGGCTTTATTCTATTTTTTTTGTTTGTTTTTAATGGGCAGTCTCTTTACTTGGGCAAAGAGATTGCCGTGACTTTTTTTTTTTTTTTTTAATGTTCTTACCTTTTTTTCTTGGTCCATTCCTGATTTTCTTCCTACTTAAAGGCTTCTTCTGATCATTTCACTGGCTCTTGCCCCTTACTTGCAGGGTCTTTTAAGGACAGTTCTTGGCCCTCTTCACTGTCTCCCTGATGACCCCATCCATTCCCATAACTTCAACTCCCATTCATAAGTGGAAGATTCTGAACTCTTATCTCCAGCCCTAAATGTGCGATTGTACATATTTGCCTGGAGGCCCTCCAACCTCCCCCAGCTTGTCTAAAACAGAAAGAACTTTTTATCTTCCCTTCCAGACCTGTTCCAACACCTGTAGCCTCAATGTATCACCATCCGCCCACCATCCACAAAGTCACCCACTCTTGTTCACCTCAGCAGTGCCTCTCCACTCTGACCCTTCATGCTATCTCCTGCTGCCTTTATTTAGGCCCTTGCTTGCAGTATGGACAGTCTCCTAACCAGGTACCTTCCACATCCCCTCCCCTTGCCAGTCCTTTGTCCATATTATTGCCAGAGTAAAAACAAAATGCAAAACCTATCATCTGAATCAACTTCTTAAACACCTTGTTCTAAGTCTCCTGGGCTTGGCATGGGGGCCCTTGACAGTCTGGCCCAAGCCTGCCTCTCCTGCCCACTCCTAACTCTGTGTCTCAGCCTCCTCTTTTGCCTCATTGAACTCCCCATTCCCTGCACACCGAGTCTTCTCACAGCTCTGTGCCCTTATTATCCCTGCTCTCCCCTATGGCAGGCATGCGTCTCCTTCTCTGCTTCCCTCAAGACCCCACTCACCTGGTTACCTCCCAGGCAGTTAGCCCTTCTGACCTCTGTGCGCCCTGTGACGCAGTACCACCTGAAGTAACTTGTGTAACACTGGGGTGCGTGTGACCCCTTTGCAGGTCTGCCTCTCCCAGGCTTGTCTGGGAGTGGCTCAAGGTCAGGGTAGTAGCTGCTGCCTTTGTAGCTCGGTGTCTGACCCATGGTGGGTGCCCAAGAAACACTGTGGACGCGTCACTGAACACTGGTTCTTCAGCTCAGCCCTGCCTGCTCGTCACCCTACGTGGGAGTCTCTGGGAGTAAACTAAGGATGCCATTTGATCTTCCCTCAGGGTGGCAGGGGTTATATCAGGAGGAGGAGAGAGAAAGAAAAGGGTAGGCACTGCTCAAAATTCACACGAAATATATGCAGCCCAGCCCGGGGACCAAATGCTGTTTTGAACCGGAATGTAGGATATGGGGTCTTCACTCACCCCGCTTCCAACTTGCCTTATACCGCCATGGGTGCTGTCCTCCCATCTGTAGAAAAAACTAGTTACTGTGGGGGATGCTCCTGGGCTTCGGCCACCATTCCTGAGGGTTTTTACCATGTGGGTGAGCATCCCTGTCCAGATATGAGAGGGCTGGACTAAGTGGATTAAACTCCAAAGGGAATTGGGGAGAGCGGATTTGTTTGCCTTCATCAAACTCTATACTGGATGCCAAGGACCAGCCCCAGCCCCTTCTGTCTTCCCCAGCTGGGAGGTGTGTGTGTTGGGGGTGGGGTTCATTCTTCTAAGATGGCCCAGGCTAGGAACACAAAGGTTTAGGAGGTGCATGTTTGGGGTTCTGTGATAGCTCAGTACCTCTTTGTAAGTCTTGACAGCTGTGCCCCTGTCATCCTCCCTGCCCCTAGATTAAAGAAACGTCTTTCTTCCCCAGAGTAGGGGTAGGAGGTTGGAGTAGAAAATGCAGGCTGAGTCTGCACAGATTTTTTAGGAATTTGTCATAAAAGGAGTTACCAGCCAAAGAGTGACTTCTCCTGTGGGCAGTAGGGCCAACCCTCCCACCCCAAAATGGGCACATGCCAGATACATACCTTGTGCATGGGGGACCCAGGCCAGGGGATGGGTCAGCCCTGTGGTCTCAGACACTGACCACAGGCATACTGAAGAGAACAGAAAGGGGTCGAGGTGGACAAGATGGCTTTGGTGCTGGGGTGGGGGTGGGGGGTTGACCCAGCTTGACCCAGCTCTGGTGACTCCAGAGCCCCCTGCGCTCACGTGGATTCTAGCAGGGCACCACCACCTCAACCACCACCACCACCACAGTTAGAGATGGTACTTGGAGCTGATGAGGGCCGTGGAGGGAGCCCAAGGTGAACTAGGAGTCTGGCTAGATGGAGGAGATAGTCTCCAAGGCTGAAGACCCCCAAGTCTTCCCCTGACACCTCGGGCAGGACCTCGGGGGGTTGCAGGGTGGAGCTGGAGCTAGATAGGAGCAGGAGCATCCCAGAGATGTAGGTGGGCCATCCCTTCCCTCCCCCAGGAAAGCAGTTCTGCCTTTAAGGGCACTCCAGGGCTTCCCAAGGGCTCCGTGGAAGGACAGTGCCCTGTGGGGAAGAGGCTGCTGAACAGATCCCACTCTGTCCCCAGAGGTCCTCTTAGCCTCGGGGTGCTCACCTGGAATCCTGCTGACACCAGTCCCAGCCTGGACCATGAGACATTGATTTGCTTTTCCTTTGAACAGCCGAAACAGGCTTGCATTTTCAAAAGGATGTTTATTAGGAAGCTGGAGGTCATCACAGAAAATACAGCTGTCCAATGTCTAAAGGAGATTGTGGCTCTTACAGTAATCACACTTTAGTTCCCAGGACTGGGCAGCTGAGCAGGCATTTGATGAGTTCCCACAGCTCCCTGCCTGTCTCCTTCTGGCATCACTTCTTCTACCCTCTGGGAATGGCATCCCCAAACCAAGGCCAAGACCCTTTCTCTCCCTGCCACCCTCCTGTTTCCTGCCACTGTTTCAGCCTGGCTCCTGGTCTGCAGATGCCCCTTGTCCAGCTGGTTGGGGCACACTATGCTGGCCACAGTCCAGGGAGTGACCTTGTCACTGCTCCCCTGCAGCAGACCCTTAGTCCTTCACCTTCACTGTGGCCTCTGCTTTCCTAGGGGCCGCTGGGCGCTGGGTGGAGGGCAGGTAGGAGCTTTCCTCACCCGAGGGGCCCTGCCAGCCGTTAGTGAGGCCCAGCAGGGCACGGGTCTGGTGGAGGAAGTTGGGGCTGGAGAAGCAGTAGAGCACGGGGTCCAGGACGCTGTTGAGGTAGGTGAAGGCCAAGGAGCCATGGAAGAGCTGCATGCAGATGTTGAGGGTGCGACAGGCTCCCAGTCGGAAGGTCACTAGGGACATGATGCCAAAGATGACACTGGGCAGGAAGCAGATGATGTAGACGACCACCACCATGGCCAGCACGCGCATGGCCCTCTGCGGGCCAGCCTGCCCACCCAGGCTGCGGCGCCGAATGGTCTGCCAGATGCTCACAGTCGCGAAGAGAATGAGTACCAGCGGAAGGAAGAACTCCAGCGCAAACAGTGCCTGGTGCCAGCGGAGTGAGGCTGAGGAGTTCCTGCCCAGCCGATAGCTGAGGCAGGTGTTGTTGGAATTCATGGCCAGGACCATATGCCCGTTGAGGAGCAGGATGCCCACCCAGAGCCCCCCGGACACCCGGGCAACTGCCCCCACTGAGGCCCGGCTCAGCACATGATGGGGCCACACCACCTTCAGGTAGCGGTTGAGCGCGATGACCGTGAGGAAGATGACACTGGCCGTGCGGTTGGTGGACATCATGAAGAGGTTGATTTGACAGGCAGTGGCACCGAAGCGCCACATCTCTCGGAGCAAATAGTAGTCCACACGAAGGGGCAGGTTGATGATCAGGAGAAAGTCAGCGATGACTAGGCAGACCAGCAACACCGTGTTAGATGTCCAGGGCTGCGTGTGGAAGCAGAAGATGAAGAATGCCAAGCTGTTCCCCGCCAGGCCCAGGACAAACTCCATGCCCAGGACTGGAGCCAGGAAGGCAGACACTGTGGAGGAAGAGTTCAGGAAGCAGCCCTCTACTTGGGACTCCAACACAGTGGTGAAGGCAGAGGGAATGAGGGCGGGAGGGAGAGAAGAGAAGGAAGGGAGAGAGGGGACGGGGGCAGGTGAGCTCAGGTTATGCAGTCTCATGGGCTGCTCTTGTCTGGGCCTGAGGGAAGAAGTCTCCGGAGGAGCCCTCCTACCCCTGCTTGAGTGCCCAGGGCAGAGTGTGGGGCAGAGTGGACAAGCGCTCCTATCAGCTGGCCGGCTGCAGTGATGCAACATCCTGGGGTTTTCACGAGCATTAGGCGTTCCTGTTTGCAGGCAAAGGGGAAGCCTGTGCCCCCACCCCTGCCTCTGCCCTCCCCTCCCTGGTGCTGAAGTGACCTCCACATGGGTCTCTGAGCCTAGCCTGGGGTTTGGAGTCGGCACTGCTCTGACAGAAGGGGAAGCAGGGCTGAGATGGAGGCCCAGAGAAGCCTTGACGTGGGAGGAAAGCTGGGGGGCAGGGAGTATTTGCAGTCCTGAGTGCTCCCACACTTGGACTTGCTGGCCTGACGGCAGGAGTTGGTCCTGGAGACCAGTAGCTCTCTGGATTACAGAGAGCTTCCTGGACACCCCTGCCCCTCCATCATATCTGCAGGCCACTGGCCACCTCGCTGCTCCCACCAACTCAGGCAGCAGAGACTGTGGATTCAGAGGCAGCAGGACCTCAGGGCCTCAAGGGAACCAGGCCTATTTGTGTTCAACCACTAGGGACCTAAGGAGCCCTGGTGGCACAATGGTTAAGCACTCTGCCACTAACCAAAAGGTTGGCAGTTTGAATCCACCCAGTGGCTCTGAGGGAGAGAAGACCTGGCAATCTGATCCCATAAAGATTACAGCCTAGGAAACCCTATCGGGTAGTTCTATTCTGTCATATAGGGTCACTATGAGTTAGAATCAACTCAACTGCACCCCACAACAAGGTGCCTATGTCCACCAGCCTGCTGTGTAGTTCACCTTCCACTTGTTTCCAGATTCCAGATGATTCCAAAGTCTGTGATGTTCCCCAAGTCTGTGTACATGTTGAAGTTCATCCCACAGGCAGAGGGCTCCCCTGTCAGGATTTTATTGCCACCTTCTAGGGGACTGGAGGCTTCTCCCCTGGAAAGAACACCTCTGAGAGTCCTCACGTTTCCCTGCCCACGCCCCCTCTGTGGCTCCTTGTCCACCGCATTCTGTACCCACTCAGCGTGCCTTGCAGAGCCTGGGACTGGCTCCAGACAAGTCACTAGTCCTGATCTACCACTGGGTGGCGCTGTCATGAGCCCACGCTGCCAGGCCTGTGGCCAGAGATGAGGTTCCAGAGCCTTAGGCTCCTCATGACCGGGGACAGCAGGGCCAAGGAGGCTGTTTCCAGTCGGGGCCTGACACCATCCTCCCCTTCCATCGCCAGTTGGTTGTGGTCTGCGGTGCCATGTGCTGCCAACTCTGCCTGGGCCTCCAGGCTTCAGGCCCAGTGGCCCCAGGCCCCTCCCCTGTCCTGGGCTCCCAGCTGGACAAGGCTGAGGGCAGATAGGCGGCCTCCCCAGGAGAAGCAGGGTGGGGAGACCACCAGCGTGAGCTTTGAACAAAGACAGGCGAGGGCTGGAAACAGAGCTGCCTGCTTTCCAAACCTCTCAAGTCTCAGCTGTAAAATGGGGCATTTCCACCTTCCTAAGAGTTGTGAGTATTAAATTAGCTACGTAAAAGCTTCTAGTGGATTACAGGGCACAGAGCAGGCGTTCAGAAAAATGAAAGGTCTAGTTTTCATTATTTTCTGTCTGGGATTAGGCCTGCTCTTAGCTACAGGGACAAGCTCCTTTCGCAGCGCGACCAGGGGTCTCCTGACGCGCGCAGTGTTCTCTTCCCTCCCTCCTGCCTAGAACAACAGCTTTTGCAGCCCACACCCTGCCTTCAGCTGCCCTGGGCTGCTTGTGAGTCTGGGAGAGGCTGGGGGTGTTTGTTTGTTTGTTTGTGGGAGAGGAAAACCCTTAGGGGCAGCGGGGTGGGCAAAGGTCCCAGCATCTCTCCTGGCCGGAAGCCGGTTTTCACAAGTTCAGGCTCTGCTCTGCCTATCAGTGGAACGTAATCAAAGCGGGGAGCCTCCTGGGTGGGGCTGGGTGGAAGGAAGAGGTTTCAGACCTCATGTTTACTTTTCCCGAGGAAGCTTCGGCTCCAAGCGGGGTCCTGCTCCATCCGATCTAGTTTCAGTTACAACGCCTCACTGAATTCTCACCACAGCCCAAGGAAACCCAGCCCAGACCACTCACTGCAGGCTCCACGGGCTCTGCGGTTTCTGGGGCTCCCAGTGTTCCTTCCACCCCCAGGCACCTGCCCCACGCCCGGGGAGCCCTCCAAGTCTTAGGACACTATGCATAGCAGAGGGACACAGGAAAGAGGTGAGGCCAGCCCCCCCGTTGCCAGGTCCTCGGTCCAGCCGTGTACCCCCTTTAGCTATTCACAATGGTTAACTCTGGGTGGGGGGATTTGGTGTTTTTCTGCATTTCTACATTTTCTACAATTAGCACATAACTTCTGTTATTGGAAAAAACTCAATAGATGCTATTTTTAAAAAGTTACGTAAAAAAGAAATGGGAACAGAGAAAGAAGCAGAGATGATGTCCTATGCTCCCAAGACACACATGGCTCGAGGTCGCACCTGACAGTCAGTACCCATTCACAAGCAGGGACACCCAGTGACAGCCCCTCAGCACGTCTCTGGTCACACTGCCCCACACCCTCAGCACGCAGACACGGCCCCCGGGGAGCACACGGGGTCATCCTCTGACGACGGTAGCCTGTGCTGGCAGACCACAAGCATGTGTTCCCAGGAAGCCTTTATTGCGGCCCTTCTAGGTGGCCGCTGAGTGCTGTGCAGAGCCCAGGGAGCAGAGCATCCAACCGGGCGGGGAGATTGTGCAGACCATGAGGGGCATTGTGCTGAGGGCTGATGGGGGAGAAGGGGGTACAGGCCCCTCCGGAGCCTGGCATCCTGGCCAGGAGATCAGCCAGACGGTGGGTGGCAGTGGTGTCCAGGGCCTGCGTGGGGCACATAGAAGCAGTGGGGCTGGAAGGGTTACTTGGCGGGGGTGGGGTACACAGTCATGCAGCTCAGGGCTGCTTCAGGCTCACAGCAAGATGGTCACCCCAGGGGCTTCTTGCGGGCGGGGTCCTGGGTCACGGACAGGGCCACAGAGCCTTGTGCACGCTCCCAGGTGTACCTGTGGAGACACAGATGGGCAGGGCTTAGGTGAGGCTGGGCCCTGAGGGTCCCACGGTTGGGGAATGTCCTCTCCGTGTGCAGGAGGCGGGCCCCCCTCCAAGGGTTGCTCACGAAGTCCCAGCTGGCACCAGGAGGCTGTCGTCAGGGGTCAGGCTTAGGCGCTGTCCCCTCATCGTCACCACCGAGGAGCCCTCCTGGGAAAGAGGAGCAGGAGAATCAAATGGATGCCGTGGGCCTCCATGCCTGTCTGAGTGTCCCTGCATCTGCGTCAGCGAAGAGGCCCTGGGAGCCCAAGCCCCAGGAGCAGCCTGACCCCCATGGACGGGAGATCATGGGACCCTTGCCCGCCCTCTCCTGGGGCCACACTCACCAGCTGCCACAGCCACACGTCCACATCCTGTCTTGGGCCTTTGCTGCTGCCTTGTCCATGGGCAACCACCTGGTGGGAAGTGACACAGATCTTTGTGGTGCTTCCCGCCCTGCACAGGAGCCGGCCTTGAGCCTGGCCGCAAACGCCAAGCCTGTGTGGGTGGGGTGGGGCTCAGCACAGCCCCAACATCCTCTGTAGGCCTCCTGCTGCTCCTGTCACCCTAGGTGCTGCCCACGCGTGGCTGTTCAGGGACACGCATGCCCTCCATCTGCACCCGCAGGTGTGGACCTCTGATGCTAACCCAGGGGAAGACATGCCAGGGAAGCGGACACGTGTGTCTGTCATACATGCAGACACATGAAAAACACACACTGGCTCCCCAGAGGCTCCCACCACCCTTCCTCTGTGAGTCTGATCTAAGGCAGAGGAAGGGGTGTGGTGATCAAGAGCGAGACTGCGGCCATCTGACCTGCCCAGGCCCCTAAGCCCACAGCTGCCATGCGGGGCCCTGCTTGCACTGGCTCAGAGCAGGACTCCCTGGATATTTGTTGGTGTGAACTGAAGCAGGAGGGTCAGGAGGCCAGCTCAGGGCTGAATGATGTTGCCATGTGGGGTGGGAGGGCCTTTGGGTGCCCAGCCTGCTCTCACAGCCCTGAGTGTGTCAGCCCAGAGTGTCTGCCAGTGCCTGGGAGAAGCAGGCTGGGCCTCTAGGGGCATGTCTGTACTCAAACCTCAAGGGGTTTGGCCAATGGCGAATTTTAAAGTAGGAGCACACACTGGCCTCCTAGCAGGTCTCCTGGCCTCCTCTCTTGCTCTCCTGACCTCGTCCCCATGCGGTACAGAAGGATCTTCTGAAACACCACTCTGGCCTAGTCGCTCTCCTACTTCAATACTTAGGTGAAGCCCCAATGTCTCCAGGGTAAGTCCTTACGCCTTGCCCAGCCCACGAGACTGGCCGGGACCCGGGCCCTGCCTGCTGCTCGGCAGTCTGCCTGTCACATGCTGCCCCCTCCCATATCCTGGCTGTCCCCAAACTCAGCTACTAGCAGGTCCAGGCCTCCATGCTTCCATGTCTTTGCTCAGGCTTTTCTCTCACCTAGAATGTACTCTCCACCTCCCTTTTCTTTTTTTGCAAACTCCTAGACTAGCTTTAAAACTCAGATGACACACAACCTCCTCCAGGAAGTCTTCCTTGACTCCCCTCCCAGCCTGGTTACTCCTTTTACCTACTTTGTCTTCCTGTAGCTTCTCTACCAAATAACTTATCACATGACTGACAATTCTGAGTAACTTATACCAGACCACACACTCTTTGAGGCAGTGACTGATTCTCCTACCAAAGCCTGAACTATAATAGGCACTTGGTAAGTGTTTGCTGAATGAAAGGCCAGCTTTGTTTGGGTCTCTCTCTCTCCCCATGCACCTCTCCACCCAACTTTTACCTCCAAACACCACTCTCCCTTCCTCCTCCCAAGGCTGTGACTGGCCAAAGGCCCCCAAATTCCTGGCAGGGGGATAAGTGCAGACCCTCAGGGG